ATAGAGCTGGAATAATGCTTATTATCCAGCCTCATGTAAGAATGTCGAGTTTTGATTGGTTCACGTGACTCTGATAAAATACCATGTACACCCATCACGATCCGCGAGCAGGGAGTACAAAGGTCATATCATCCCGCCGACCGAAGTGAGAAAAGCCTGCATCGTCAAGCCTTTAGTAACGTGCGCTGCATTGAGGTCAATCGATCAGCTGGTGTCAACATGGCAGCAAGGAAACGTTTTGCCACAACAACTGAGAATGAAATTGATGCGTATTGTTTTCTTTTGATTTAGTAAAAACATTCAGCTAGATAAATGCGTTATCGCATCGTGTCTCGGGAAATACAGGGTTTTATCGGTCCCTCGTAAGGTTGTATTCCCTTCGCCTCCGGCTAGGGGAATACAACCTTACTCGGGACTGATAAAACCCTGTATTTCCCGAGACACGATGTGATAACTTATAGTGTGGCATCAAACAGCAAAAAGCAGTCCTGTATCAGGGCTTGTATTTAAGGGCTTCAGGGTATGTTTTAAATTTTAAAAAAACACCCAGGGTATCCTGTTACAAATTCGAAGTTAAATTCCGCTGATTAAAAGACACCTGGAGATATACCAACCATTTTGACTTTTTCAGAATCAGTGAAGTATTTTGAACCAAACTGTGCCTGAATGATAAAGTGAAGTATAGAGAATGTGGTCACTTCATGAGTCTGTATGATGGGGTAGCCTAGTGGTTAAAGTGTCTGGTCATCACGCCGAAGACCCGGGTTCGATTCCCCACATGGGTACAATGTGTGAAGCCCATTTCTGGTGTACCCCCGTGATATTGTTGGAATATTGCTAAAACCTGTGTAAAACCATACTCACTCACTCGCTTCATGAGTGTTTGGATTAGATATTGACCAAACTACAGGCATTATCACATATACAACCATTGTCGGTAATGCCTTGGTATAGTGAAAGGAAACGAAGCATAAGAAGGGACAGTTGATACTTGAGGCTGAGGGATTCAATGCAAATGACAATGATTATCATCAAAACCATGCTGTCAGTGATGCTGATAATTATTACGATATTTTTATTATTATTTTAAATTAAAATGTTATCCCCAATTATCCAGTATACGCAGCTGCCACAATATTGTCTATGTGTTTCCATTCATGTATCTAGTAATGCACCTTTAACTTGTAAAGACCTTCCTTTCTATAATTGTCTGAGACTTGACTGATGCATTTCCACTTTCTGTATTATTTCCATGTGAAGTTTTTATACAGATGGTGGTACCTTTCACAAGCATGTGATCAACAGCTGGTTAATTGTCTGGCAGTTTTCAGATTAATAAGTTGTCATTGTATCCTGGGCCCGGTGGGGTAGCCTAATGGTTAAAGCGTTTGCTCGTCACGACGAAGACCCGGGTTCGAATCCCCACATGGGCACAATGTGTGAAGCCCATTTCTGGTGTCCCCCGCCGTGATGTTGCTGGAATATTGCTAAAAGCGGCGTAAAACCAAACTCAGTCAGTCAGTCATTGTATCCATCTGTGCATCTTACTGCTTGAATGAACACGTTTAGTGTGTTACACAGCTTATGTTTTCTGAGAAGCAAACTCATCCAAGCCAATATACAATAACGTTAGAGTAGAATGGGTGGCGTCTCAATTCATTGACAGAGTTATGTCCCTTTGACATAATCCAATGATTATGGGTTTGAGTCACAGATTTTCCCAGGGTTCTGTTGTACAAATATGGCTGAGACTGTCGTAAGTTTATGTTTAGGTATGGGAGTTACGATCACCTTATCGCTAAGATTGCTTTGTAAAATGGCACCCAAGGTACTTCATCCCTTCTCCCACTTTCAGCTGCCACACCCTCTAAGTATAGGGGCGGTGGGGTAGCCTAGTGGTTAAGGTGTTTGGTTGTTATGCCAAAGACACGGGTTGAATTCCCACATGGGTACAACATGTGAAGACCATTTGTGGTGTCCCCTGCCGTGATATTGCTGGAATATTGCTAGAATATTGCTAAAAGCAGAGTAAGGTCACCCACTCACTCACTCATAAGTGTAATGATCTTTAGTGTAATGTTCTGTTGAGGTATCACTGACCTGCCCTTGCTGTCAGAGTAAGCTTATATACTGGGTGTTTAGTATTATCTCATGCCCAGACCAGACTGAGTACTTGTTTTTAAACCACCTGTCATATTTTATCAATTACGAAGGATATAAATTCTGTAACGTCCAATATATTTATCTGACAATTTACAGATACATTTTGACGCAGCTTGTACTCTCTCTCACTTGATTCAGCTTAGACTTCATCTGTCAGCAAAGGATAACATAACATGAAAACAAATAGAGAATCTCACCCTTGTGTCTTTTCATATGAAATGTGCCAACACTCGTCTCTATATATCTAAAACTTATGTTTGCTAACTATCTGTCATAAAAAACTTGCAAGTTTCCCAGGAGCGATATATGATTTTATCAACCTGTTGATATATTTGATATCAAAAGACATGTGGATGAGATTCTTTGTATCATCCAAAATAATTCATCCATTTGGGAACAGTTTGGATCATAATGATACTTAGGGTGCACAGCTTACAGTTAACAAGCTTTAGTAACTTGTTGTATTTGGGGTTACACATTCTCAATAACAGTACACATTACTACAGTCCGTTTGAGTCAGAAACGGACCGATGAATTGCAAATTTTATCATTGTAGAAAATTGCCACATAAATATAAATAGTACACATGTTTATCATTTACTAATACCCAACAGCTTTCTTATATTTGAACATTTTCTGGACTCCACCAAAAAAAGTTCTTTAAGAAACTATCATTAAAATTTTGACACAGTTCACTATTTGTTACGAGGGAGGAGTGCAGAGAAAGGGACAGCCAGGTGTTAGAGAAGCACGTGCACATGTGCCCACCAAGTTATTGATTCATTAGCCTGTGCTGTGCCGTCTCCATCCTTTCTCGCACACCTGGCTGTCCCTTTCTCTGCACTCCTCCCTCGTAACAAATAGTGAACTGTGTCAAAATTTTAATGATAGTTTCTTAAAGAACTTTTTTGGTGGAGTCCGGGAAAATGTTCAAATATAAGAAAGCTGTTGGGTATTAGTAAATGATAAACGTGTACTATTTATATTTATGTGGCAATTTTGTACAATGATAAAATTTTCAATTCATCGGTCCGTTTCTGACTCAAGCGGACTGTAGTACTTTTAGTGGTGGAGTCCCAATAGGTATTTCTGAGAAATGTAATCACAAATATAACATGCTACATTTGACCACTTTCTAAAATGGCATTGTGTATTCATAACCAGCTTTAGTGTTAGACTGGAGATATTGTCACTGTGACCCCATGATAACGAACTCTAGGTCTGCAGATTTACATGCAGCTGTCTCCTCAAGGAGAGATCAGTAGCTCCTACCAAAACAATATCTTCTGTGCAAGCCTGTTTTAGATAATAAAAGAATGTTTTTATTGGCACAATGCAGTAGTATGTCATGAGTCACTGATTATTTACCTATTTAATAAAATGATACTGATTCACTCTTTCCATCCCTCTGTTCAGCCTTCTCTTCTACCCTCCCTCATTCCTTCCTTTACGTTTCAAGTGGAAAACCTATGAAACCAGTAAAAAAAATGATCTATCCTATGAAGATTTTTTTACTTGGTAATTTTCGAGTATATGTACCTATTTGTCATCTGAGACGACTTGGCCTCGTCTGTGAGAGATACACTTGTATTTTCTCTTATTGTTGAATACTTCAGTGATATTTACATTTGTTTCATATTACATTGTGTAATAACAATCTATGCATTTTCTTGTTTTTTCATCTTGATTAAATATTTCCAGACTCACAATGAGTTGTGTTTTGTGTATGACTCGTAAGTAGTCACACTGCTCTAGATGTGATAATGAATCACAGGCACACATATTGTTGAATTGGTGGACATAGGTCACTGAGGATTGGTGAGTGAGACTGACACAGATACCCAGCAGGTAGGTACAATGATCATATACCACTCTACTTGCATTAGGGATGATTTTTTATCTTTATATGATACACAAAAAGGATTATTATGAAATGCTGAGTGTATATTTAATATATCTAAATGTGATATGTTAAATCAGATAATCAGTATCAAATGGTATACAAAATGTATTTCCTTAATTAAGTAGGTCCTTGTTAAATTAAGAGCATTTGAACTGTATGACTTGTCTGTGGCCTTTCAATGTCAAATAAAATGTCTGCCTTGATTAGCAGATTGTGTTAAAGTAATAGATAACAGATTTTATAAACCTCATGGTGAGAGGGTAGGCAGGTAGGAATGACACATTAATCTCACTCACAAGACACGTTGCTGTAAATGACATGGAATAAAAAATTGTGAGATAAGATATGTAATGGGTTAGCTGACACTTCCTTGTATCAGAGACTTTTTGGTTCCCAGCCAGTACGTTTGCTTCAATAACATTGGTATTAAATATTCCATATAATTTATGTCTGTGTTACAAGTAGCATGTGTAACATTAACCGGTTTCATAATTGTTAAGTAGAATGAATCCGAATTTTGTATTATGAATTGTCATCTGTCTATAAATAACAGGGGTTTTCCAGAACCTAATCTATTTTTAGATGGGGTTTTCCCACATTTCAGCCGAAGAATGCGGAAATAATAATGTCCTTATTATTACATTATCATTTCTACTATTGGTATAGTCAGGATTATTTTCATGATATGTAGTTATTAATGAAAAATAGTTAGCCCACGACAGGAAGAGAATGAAATGAAAAGTGCGTAGTTAAAGAGAGCAAATACCATATATGGTTATCAATAAAAGTACGAGAAGACTGTCAAACAACACGTCAAAGTGCCAATCCCAGTCACACATTCAAGATAAATCTGTAGTAACTGGTACATTTACATAACATACATTACAGGTTTGTGCACTGTTAAGGTCACGTGACCAATAAAACACGCTGAAGGGTATTCCCCATTTAGAACTCACGCAATTCTCCGCAGTCAGCCGACCAGGTCAGTCCAGAGAGTAGTCCTCTCAAAGCAGGTTGCACCGCGTTGTAGTGTTCTTGATTAGGGTTTGCATTTCATAAAGGTTTGGTTTGCAATTCTTATTTCAAACAGGTAGTTTATTTTATAATACTCCATATATTATTTCTATTCTTTATGTTTATATATTTCTCGGAATATTGTCTCAGGTTTTGTATTGGGGCATATGTTACGCAGATATTAATACTTGTTGTAATAACTTCTACAGTAAATTAGGAGTGGCGTGGAGCTATGACAAAACCCTAAATATAGGTTGATTTAGATGTTAATAATATTCTTTGCGAAAGAAACCCTTATTAGTATATAATATTAATTACATGGTCGTGTGTGCCAGTACTGAAGGCTACAAAAAAAATAAAAATATGATTGTTATTTTGCAGGCAGGACTTTAAATGTTAACTCACTAAAGCAAAATGCATTTTTCAGTTTGTCTGTGTCACCAGTGTTCCCGATGGTACCATCTTTTTCAGTTTATATGTGTCCATTTTGTCATTTTTTTGCTTTCTTGGGGATGTGGGGTGTGGGGGTGGGTGGGTGGTGGTGGTGTATGATATATTTAATTACGCAGTTTCACTGATGATAATATGTTTTCATAATGCCGAAAAACTCTTAGTATTCACCTTTTGCTGTTTCCCTTCCCCCTCTTAGAGGTCATGGATTAGTCTAGTACTTGCATGTGTTCCCTCGTCACGCCGCAAGCTCGGGTTCGATTCCCCTCACGAGTATATGTGCTAAACCCATTTTTGGTGTCCCCGCTGTAATATTGCTTGGATGTTGGTGAAAGCGGCGAAAAACCATACTTACTGTTCTGACGATGTTCAACGTATCTACACCGTGAAACATCGTTAATACAAACCCGATTATCCGGAAACTCTTGATACAGGACGATTAGACCAGCCTCTTTCTTTTTTGTTTAGGAAATTTTTGATCAGGTCGGAGGTCGAAAAAACATAAATGTTTAACATGAATGTTAAGTAAATAGTGGGAAAAGGGAGAAATTATAAAAAGGTGTGTCATGTGTCATAAATCGTCAATGTAACATAACAAGTTTTAAGATTAAGTTTCAACAGGTTTTAATTGAAATATTCTCTATCATATATACACATGAACATATATAACGATATTCTTTTTCACATTTTACTTATTCATTGTCAGCGATTAAATTTTTAAATTTTTTTTATTTTGCTGTAGACAGATTAGTGAATCAGGTTTTAAACATTTGACTTTACTGTGTAAATGGTGTATTTATTTTTATAAAGGGACATAACTCCGTCTCCTTGATACGTTTCATATTGTCGATTTCATAAGTTTCCGTTCAATCACGTCATCAACTGTATTTTCTGTGTTTGTTATTTAGGGTCCCCACATTCAGCAACAATATTACGAAACTGGGCCCGAGAAGTGATTCTACATGTATAATTATAAAACTACGAATATAGAATATTATTGTGCACATAGTTTCTAAATCGCGAAGTTTCTACAGAACTTGTATATTTGTATTGTGTATCACTGTTATTTAATAATGATCTTCGTCCCTTCAAAATGTACATTTTTATTGATTATGCTTAGACTTAAGCGTTACCACTAAAATCGTTTCCAGATATTATTGAAATAGAATATCATTGTGCAAACAGTTTTGAAATATAGAAGTTGCCACAGAACTTGCATTTGCATTGTGAATCAGTGTTATTCAATAATGATCTTCCTTCCTTCAAAATGTATTTGATTATGCTCAGACATAACTTAATAACCACTATTACCATATCCAGATATTTATTAAAATATTAACTAGAAAAATAAATTAATTATAGGATTTTTCATCAAAATTGATCAAGGCTCGAGGCATTTCGTTTATTGTATCCATTTAAACAAAGGACACTAACTGGCGACATATATATTCACATGACTCTTTAGTGTTTGGTACGACTAAATAAGCTGAAATTTGTATCGAATGAAAAACTGGGGAGACACATACACATAGCCTTGCTCCAAGGCTGTACTGAAGGCTAAGGCCATGGATGTATAGCAATTCTATCCTTTAAAGAGGCAAGTCTAGATAAGCGGATAGGACGCTAGTCTGTTAGAGGGATATTTATATTTTTTCGAAATTATGAGTGAGTGAGTTAAGATTTATAGTCACATCGGCAATATTTCAGCCACATCGTGCCCAAAAAGAATTCACCATAAATACATGTAAATTATAAAAACCTGTCATCGAAGGACAGTAAAACCAACTAGAATAGCACAGTATCAAGGAATAAAACTAGCATCTCTCTCTAATATTGGAATTCAAATTAGGATAATACAGTATAAAAATGGGCTATAGATCGCCAGACACGGAAGGTAGTAGAAATTGCCTTAGAGACTTGTGCAAGTCTAATATACACATAACGGTTTCTGTGTCTGTGGATACTGCAACACAAGGCAGCGATGCATAACAGTTGCGATGATGATGACGATGATAATGATGATGTGTCATTGTCACCACGCCTTTTCGGTCCAATATTTAACGCTTTGCTAGTTGAATATTTGTATATACACATGTAGTTTTAAAAGTTTGCTGGTTTGATGTTTAACACTGCGATATTCCAGCAATATGACGCAGCTGCCTGTAAATAATCGAGTCTGGACCAGCCAATCGGGTGACTGACATCATGAACATTGATCTTCAATGGCATATGTCAGCCAAGTCAGACATTTGCTGATGTTCTAAATCACCGGCGTGTCTGGTCCTAACTGATATTGACACAGCGTCTGGCGCGTTGGAGTAAAGTCCTAAAGATTCGGAAATATACATTTTGTTTTATGTACAAGTTGACTTCTTTGAGTGGCATTTTAGAAGTTGGGAAGTACAATATAGAACAAACTTTATGGATAACAACTTCTCCACATTAACCAGAAGGGTCAAGAACATCTGTTCAACTAAACTACAAGATGAAATCGAACACCTCAAGAAAGTCTTCGTAGAACGTAACCACTTTCCATCCCACTCCATTCTATTCCCACTGACGCGGGAAACAGATATTTCAGATTTATCGCTTCATAATGTGAATTCCTTGCATTTGAAAAGCCCACACAGTCAAGCAGTATGTGCTTGATGGTGAACACCTCATTGCAAGAGACACACATGGGAGGTCCATCTCCATCCTTTTTGAGTAGTTAGTCATGAGTAAACCGACTGTGGCCAATGCATGACTAATGTAGATTGAAGGGAAATAAATAAAGCGTATATAGTGTACATGCCACGGGCAACAATAAATAAAGTACTTGAAAACTACCAGCATTTCTCATGTGAATTTCCTTCCGTAACCTTTATAATTAGATAGAATCTTCCTTATTAATATGCAACACTTACAGACGCAGATTTAGAACTCCACCGTGAAACTTCCTTCCAGTAAATATTTTCTCCTACTTTGCTCCAAAAATAAAAGGCTGTCCTATTGAAACCAGAAAAAGAATTATCGGAATACCCTAGTCACATGACTGACAAAGAAAGTGATTAAAACATTTTTGGTAAGAAAATGGTAATCCTTAATACCAAAGGCATTTAACTATAATATATTTTATATTTATTTTTATGACAAGTATTCTGTTCATGTTAATGTTACATAAAAAAGTATAAAACAATTAATGGCCCGCCTTGTTACTTCTACATAGTACTGTCTTTCCAAATAAGACGGGGTTTGTATAGCCCAGCGGTGAAAGTGTTCGCTCGTCTCGCCGAAGATCCGGGTTCGATTCCCCACATGGGTATAATGTCTGAAGCCCGTTTCTGGTCTCCCCCGTCGTGCTATTGCGGGAATGGTGCTAAAAGAATCGTAAAACTAAACTCACTCACTCACCAAATGAGACCGATGACGCGGTTGGAACTGTTGTTCGAATCGCTTTGCAGAGTTGCTTCCCTTAGGTCAAAAATGGTGTGTTAGAATATCATATTTTTCCTGATTATGTTTCCGGTTAGTAAGGACCTGCCTATGCTCGAGAAATTCCCCAAAGAAATAAACGAAAGATTTGCATCGGCGTAAAACCAAACTCACTTTCACTGTGACTGATTTGTATTGTATGACAGTACAATGGAGGACTTCGACATCACCACCAGCATGCCGCTTTTGTCGGGCCTGGAGACGGCGTTTGAGGACTCCCTCATATCAAACACCTGTATCCCCCTTCTGAAACAGGAACTCAAGTCCAAGATCCAGATCAAACGTCTTCAGCAAGGTCAAGGCGAACTCAAGGTCACCTTTGAGCCGAAACCCAAATACGAGGTACGTGAAATAAATATGTTTAGTTTATATATCAGCGAGTTTGTGAAGGTAAGGTGTTTCGTGTCAAATGTACCGTTTATTAAAGGTTCATTTAAGGTTTGAACAGGTTTTGAGTTTGTATCCCCCTATATAATAATAGTAATCAGCTTGCCTGTCCGTCCCTCCGTCCGTCTATATCATAAGCCATCTACCATATCTGACATCCACTTGATCATCCAAACACTATAAAACCTGACATACACAGTTCCTTATCCATACTCCTTGTTTTCAATAGCTCAATAACCTGTAGGGACGGTGGGGTAGCCTAGTGGTTAAAGCGTTGGCTCGTCACGCCGAAGACCCGGGTTCGAATCCCCACATGGGCACAATGTGTGAAGCCCATTTCTGGTGTCCCCCGCCGTGATGTTGCTGGAATATTGCTAAAAGCGGCGTAAAACCAAACTCAGTCAGTCAGTCAGTCAATAACCTGTACACAGACACATGGATACATACGCTCTCATGAAGTTTGTCATAAGACTCTTGTTGGACTTGATGATTACTTCAAATTTGTGGGAGACGAGGGGATTTGTCATCTCTTTATGACTTTTGATACCCTTAACAGCATTATAGGGGTAAAGATCAAATGGGTATTCACCTGGGAAAAACATAAGAATATCAGCATTAATGTTGTACATCATCTTCATTATAACGCGCGTGCGTGCATGTGTGTGTCTGTGTGTGGTGGTAGCCTCTGTTGTTATGTTGTTGCCTTGAAGATGTTGCGGTGTCGTTGATGTTGCCGTTATGTTGATATTGTAGTGAGTGAGTGAGTTTGATTTTACGCCGCTTTTAGCAATATTCCAGCAATATCATGGCGGGGGACACCAGAAATGGGCTTCACACATTTTACCCATGTGGGGAATCGAACCCGGGCCTTCGGCGTGACGAGCCAACGCTTTACCCACTAGGCTACCCCACCGCCCCTGATATTGTAGTGAGAATGTAGTGATAAAGTCAGATGTTGATAATGATGGACAACAACTTCTTTTTTATTGACTCACAAACTTCTAGAATGATGATGTAGCAGTGGTGCAGTGGGAATGCCGTAATGATGATGATGATGTTGGTGTTGTAGATGACGGATGAAGAGAAACAAAAGCAGGCGAGGAGGCGAGAGGTGAACAGGATCGCCGCTCTCAAGTTCCGGAGGAAGAAGAAGGATAAGATAACAGAGCTGGAGGAAGTAAGTCACGTGTGTGTACTCACCTGGTGGCTGATGGGGTGAGCACGAACATCACAGTCGCTATGGTGACACACTTGTTCAAATAAAAAAGGTTCCAGTAATGAACATCTTGACAAAGGTCAAGTCTACAAACGATTCCTTGTATCCGTGACAATAGGAGCCTTGAGTGAGTCAGTTTAGTTTTACGCCGATTTTAGCAATATTTTAGAAATATCACGGCGGGGACACCAGAAATGGGCTTCAAACATTGTACTCAAGTGGGGAATCGACCCTAGGTTAGAATGATGGACAAAGACGTTGGTTTTTAAGAGTAAATATTTGCGTTGCAGAAAGCGAACCAACTAACTGCTGAGAACAAGCGTCTTGAAGAGGAGCTACAACTATGGCGGAAACTCCATGAGACCCGACAGGACTCTTTCCCCGTCACCCCCGAGAGTGGCTATGTGTGGTTGGTGATACAGGCTGACACGTGACCCTACAGGGACCCCGGTGCCGAATAAAGACTGAGACCCACCACGTGATATGTGACAGTTTTGCCTCAGGGCGATGTGACCTTACAGGATTTTCTCTGTGTGGGAGAAATCATTGTATCTAAATATGTATATTTATTCAAAGTTCGCTGGCTGGATATGGTGTCTGGGAATTACAGTGCTTTGCCATCAATATACAGAAGGTATTGTATCCAGTTTTATTTTCTCCGATACTACCTTTCCACTATAGCTTTCAAGAGATATATCGGTCAGCTTTGGTCAGACAAGAGATCGCGCAAAAACGCTTTCTGATCGGACGTCATCATTTGATGGTCACGTGAAATTTTACGCATGTAGCTATCAACTGACGTTGTGTACCCGATCTGGCTTCACGAATCAAATCAATCCAAGTACAAGACCATCTTAAGTTTATGCTAAAGAGTCACGATTGTCTTAGCGCTAAGATAGCTTTGTGCAACAGGTAGGCCTTGAGAATGATGTTAGTTAGTGTGTCGAGACATTCATAGCGCTGAGATGTCTTTTAAACGTGACGTATGTTTTCAGTCATATATGGATACCTTAGAACTTGATTACACTAGATAATGTTTATGTGGTTTAGCAATCAAAAACTCGTAAATTTATTTTTTAATTCACCGTGTCTAATTTAATTCATGTACATATACGGAGACTTGCGTTTACAATTGTACTCTTATGTTGTATTAATTACAATTATGTGTATGTGATTCACCCACATTTATGCTGTATTGCAGCTATAAGCATGTTCTATACGTTTGTTTACCTGTATCTACGGGTTACAGTTTTTGTTAAATATTTATTTCTACGAAGAACTATCTACAATCATGTTATGAAGTACAAAAATGAAATAAAGAGAAGCAAAACAATAATACATTGCTTTGTATGAATCTTTGCTTGATTCCAGGTACGTTTCGTTGTTTGTATTATCAATGACATGTCAAATACCGGTGGCCCGAGTGTTGCATCTTTTGCTTTCTTTCACACCCGGGGGTGACAAACCCACGTGAGAAAACTGGTATCGGACATGTGTGTGTGAGATCGATTTCTAAGCCCGTGATTGGCTACTTGGTGATGACCTCGGGTCAGATTATGACGGACTACTTTCCTGATTAAACTTCACAGATAGGTTACCCCATTCTCTTCCCACAGAGGTTATTTGTCATATCTTCCTACGAACCTCTGTTCTAATACGGCAATATTTCCCGTTTCTGGTAAAATCCCCTAGCGGCAAAAAAGTCGCACCACGAATCATCTCCCTTCTTTCTATCCAATCAGAACACGTGTTACATCGACTTAGATCCAACTTGACTAACACAAGCAAATGTGGGGCCACAAATATCCCTCCTCCGCCGTTACATGACTGAGTTCTGTCTAAAAGAAACGTTTGCGCATCGTGCAGGGGAAGAGGTTCTAGTTTTTCCGAAGCATACGGAAATTGCCGAGGCCTTGCGAATGATCACTTTTGAAACAACGTCGCTGATTGCACAACCAAATCTGATTGCAACCAATCACGAATCCTGAACACTCGCACCATGAAAGGGCCGTACTAGAACAGAGGTTCGTAGGAAGATATGACAAGTAACCTCTGTGGGAAAAGAATGAGGTTACTCGTGCTTCAATTGAACGGTTACAGCCCACCTGGCCTAAAATTCACATCTGAAAAAAACCACTTATCCACACTAATCCCATAAAACCAGTGAGGCATGAATGCCCACATAGCCTAATGAACTTTACCTACCTAATTGAATAATTTTAGGCCATGTGGGCTGACACCAATCGAACAGAAACTTGCTAGTCGTGCCAAACACATTTACACCTTCATGCTATTTCCGCGATTGTAACATAAACAGGTATTTATACAATAAAACACAATTAGAATAAATATAACACGAATCTAGTTATTTTCTAATTCCTTTTATAAAAACGTTTGATTCTAGTCATGAATTCAAAATGGCTCGAACAATCAGTGATGCCTGTGTAAACAATTATGAGAATATCGCAGTCAGAGATAAAGGCCGGGGTTCCCTTTGAATATTCAAAATGTATAACATACCTTTACTGCAGAGATGCGACAAGTGGCATGTATGTCTTGCCAAAATACCTGACACGATAACGTCAGAGCCTGTCCATTGTGAGATCGATTTGCCTCGTGGTTTCTTTGATGAATTGATGAATATGACATTTTTACTGACAAACACGATGGTTCTTTCGATAAAGATCCACTTCAGCTCTGAGCTACTGTGTGCTATTCAAATGTTAACGAATTCCCCCATGACAATCAGAACTAAAACACACTCGTTGAAACAATGTACAACATCGAACGTTTGCAAGGGTTCATGCGTGCAAATGGCGACGACACACGTCCTTTCATCTACATTTACATGCTAACATCATCGTTTTAGAGTGTTTAATTAATTTTCTTGTGATCTTATCTAAACTAACGGGCAAAGAAACGATATCAAAATTAATTTGATACATAAAATGATATGTAAGAAACAGATTACTGAACTCGTGTCTGTCAAATACCATTTATCTTACAACTCGTTGTTTAAAAACTCGCCTTCGCTCATTTAAATACCCTATATCTCTTCCAAAACTGTGTCCCACTGGAGATATATTGCTTGTGTGGGATCAGTAGAATTTATACTCTGCCCTGACATCATCAATTACATGAGATCACAATGCTTTGACGTCATCAATTACTAGTACATGACTTACAATGCTATGACGTTACAGACCTGATGGATGACATCACAGTTGTATGACGTCATAAACTTGATGACGTCATAATGCTAATACCATCGCTGCATTGCAAGTGTAATGGCAGTACCGTTTTCAGAGATGTACATTTTTCATCGAAAACTAAAGAAGAGTGATTTTTGATGATAAATAGAATCTCACCCTCGTGCCTTCTGATATCAAATATATCAACACTCGTTGATAAAAGTAAAAATTATATGTGTAACTTTATCAACCCGTGTTGATATAATTGATATCAGTAGACACTTCGGTGAGATTCTCTGTATACCCCCGTTGGGCAGATTACCAATTTAAAAATACTTTGAGATCTCGGCAAGGAAGGATTGCAGAAGTGTAAAACATTCGATTTGTAATCACTGACAACTAAAGTATCAGTTTTACATCATGTATGCCTTCAGGTTAAAGCGCTTTTAAGGCTTCACGCGTTGTATCCATGTCGGGAATCGAACCCGGGTCTTCTTCGTGACATGCGAACGTTTTAACCAGTAAACTAGCTACGTTATTTCAAAAGTCAATATTCCAGCATTGTGCCCATGTGGGAATCGAAGCAGGGCCTTCGGCGTGACGAGCGAACGCTTTAACCACTAGGTTGGCGTCTTTTTGTCAAATTATAACACGCATCATGAAACCCGCTAGTCTGTCTCACAGTCCCTGAACCACATTAATTTCCCTACTGCCAAGCCCTCTCTGCAGTGCTAAAGCCCTAAATAAAGCAAGTCTAGTCTGAATCTCTGGTCTCCCTAGGGCTCCCATTTCAATATAAATTGGCTTGTTTGTTACTATCAAAATTATATATATTCAGAGACTAAGCCTTAGTCTAGAAACCCGCCAACAATCCTGTTTAAATTCCCCTTCAAAACGATCACCACACAGTATTTAAGCTGTAGTCACTCAACCGTGAGCAAATCCAAGCTGCTTGTCCAGGGTGGGTGGAATGTGGGTCGCAGTTCGGCGTGACGCTGCAATACACAACCGATGGACTGTAATATACACGACCCAAACTACCAACTGCTCAGGAAAACTTACTATGCATATTTACCCGGAACAAGTGATAAACGCAGCAATGAACACCGACAACCGGCGCCATCCGACCGGAACCACATCCCACAATGCTCTGCGTCAGGACGGTTTTCTGTCTATTGTAAGTATTGAGTCTATTGTGAGTTGATCAATGCGTGACTGGGTATAACTGGGATAGGCGCTGCTCCACCAAATACACCCGAACGGTCACAATGACCAATTGTACGCACGAAACCATTTAACATGAAATATAAACGATTTGTTAGGGCAAGTTATGACATGTTATTTTCTTACATACATTGTGTAATTTTGAAGTCTTGTTGGATGTATTCATCATAATTTCACTGTACTAAGCTGTATTTACTAATACCATTTGGTATTAAACGATTCATGTTTTAACTTTCATTGGCTCTCTTGGGGTTTCGGTCGAGTTTGTCTTCTGCAACCCATGCTTGTCGACAAACCCCATAGATCGATGCTAGTGATGTCGAACCCTGGGTGTTTTGGTCCAGAGTTTTAACAGACCGACGTTACAAAGCTGTAATATTGCTTAGTAGAGCGTTACACAACACACAGAAACAATCACATCCCTCAGTGGAAGGCTTTGCTTGCATTTCATACAAATAAAACCTTTAGTCAACAACATAATTTTTTTTACCACAAAATTACAGTAATTATGACTTCTTAAAATAACAGGGATTTGTGGGGATAATGGAAAACATGTTTCATTTTGTCGCCTATATTTCAGTAACCGTGCATAAAAATGCAATATTTCAACTTTGAGGTATTTAGATGTTTGTTGCCATTTTAGAAGATGGTATTTGATGAACATAGGTAATTTTCTGGGTTTCATCTTCTTGTTATTGTTTGGTACAACGTTTCAGGGCTTGTTCTGGCCCCATCATCAGGTAGAACTAAAGAACAGTAACTGTTACTGTTCTTTAGTTTAGTTTAGTTTAGTTAGAGGTATTTGTTTAAAATCGTGTTTCTTTGATGGATCGATAATATTTTGAGATCCGGTTTGACCAATGTGATATACGTTTATCACGGGAAATCACGACTATGACTATTAATACACCTATCTACGTCGTATACTAGTATTCTAATAACAGTCACGGGAAACACATATATGTCGAGGCTATATGGAGATTAGGTTATAAATAGACGGGGAATTCCCATAGTTCGAGCGGCTGAATTTGAATCTTTGTGTCAGCACTATCAACAACATCATCTGTTCAGCGAAGTCCATCAGTCCATCATGGATTGATGTTGATGGAAACTACTTGTTGTTATAGGTGACAGACTACTGGATACTAATATTAATAATGGATATTGGATAATATCGTCAATATTAGACGGGTAAGTTCGGCATTATTTTCTTCCGGCTTATAATGAGGTCACAAGTTGTCATATATTGTTGATCGGTTATTCGCTTGTCGTGTGGGTATAAATTCATTTGCAGCTATTAACCGCGACTTTTTTCCGGGTATCATGTAGAATGTAGCGTCCGTACAACGTTATACATTAACAATTTACTACTGAGTCAATTATTTTCCCTGATCAATAAGTTGCTGTGAAGCCCAATATGGAGTTATACGAATTATTTCAGTCAGTAACTACAGGAAACACCCTAGACTTGCACAAGCCTCTAAGGTAATAATTAATAGTTTACTGAAAATTTCTAAAACAAAATCAATTAAAGGTTGGCGTATAATCCAGACTTGCCTCTTTAAAGGACAGAATTACTAAACATCCACGGGCTTACCATTCAGCACAGCCTGGGATCAAGGCTAAAAGCGCCCACGTGGTTAAATAAACAGGACATTAAACCAGCTTACACAGGCGCTCCCCTGCATCCCCCAACCCCATCTCCCCCCGCCCTGTCCTGAAAGTTTTTTAAAAGACCATTGAAACTCTCGTGAAAACGGGTGTAAATGAACTGTGCAGCCCCCTTTCTTAAACAACATATAATGTAAATACACTATATATTCTACTCCACTGGCGGTGGGGTAGTCTTATGGTTTTAGCTTGCGCTCGTCATGTCGAAGGTCTGGGTTCGATTCATCACGCGATGCAATGTGTACAGCTCATTTGCTAAAACGTGCTTTAACCCTGACTCACTTAGACTGACACTTAAATATGTAATAAGCCTACTTAGGCAATCTAAACTTTATTCA